TTGGAAGATGAAGAGAATCATGAAACCCAGTATATCACGGGAAAAGTTAAAATAAAATGGTCTAGCAGATAGGCTTTGATACCATGCTGAATAGTGAGATACGAGGCCAGTGGATGGCATTAGTATGCTGTAACCCACTAGATAATGGAAACCAGGGAAAATAATAATGTAGAAGAAGATAGTATTAGGACACTATTACTTCTGATGATATTCAAGTACAATATCTAATATAGTACTAGCAGAAAGAGATAGGCAAATAGCAATAGGAAAGAGAATAGTGGTAGAAGAAGAACATGCTTATAGAAAATATGTGGGCCAAATGGGCCTAATCCTGGATTGAGCCTAATAAAACTAACCGTAGGTTCCTACATTTCCAACACAAATCTATAGTAAAATGCAAAGGAAATATGTACTTGAAATGGTTATCGAATATCACTTTATTTGAGATGATGACTGATGACAATAGCCTCAAATGTATATAGACACATTACAGGTGAGATAATCAACAACAAATATGTCGAGTTTAATGGAGTCTTCCAAATCTGCATTGTGTGCATGTGCTGTGAATGATTAACCACCTAATTGTTTTCTAAATTTCCTGCCTGTTCAACTTGAGCTATGTACCAGATACCCCTCGTCAAGAAGCATATAGATCAAATGCTCCAAGCATATTATACTCCTAGGCTCAGATATTTAGGGACACGATTGAACCGATGATTTGATCTAACATAGAACTATGTATTCTGGCAGAGAAAAAACAAAAAGAAAACACGATATGATCAGAGAAGCTAAACTTTGATACTACCAAGTGATATGCTATGAATCCCAAATAACGCTGGTGCTCTTCAAAGAAGATTTTGAAATCCATTTTAGACTTCTATGGTGGTGTTATGTGATACGTACCCAGAAATTTGACGATAAAGGGAAGTATATTAGATGAAATTGATAGACTGAAAAAGAAAGATACAGTGAGACACTTCGAGCAGTCCCCTCTCCCAAGCCAAAGCCTATCCCAATTTCTCCTCCAATTCTACTCCCCTCACTCCTATTTATTCTTTTCCATATGGGCCAGCCCAGTTCTATTAAATTCAGGTCCTAAAACCCTTTTATTCTACAATATTAAAAGACCACCATTATTCTTATTTTTAGTACTATCTAGGTCTCTATCATTACTCCCCCCTTTGACAACCACCTTGTCCTCAAGGTGGGGAGTATCTGAGTAAGAAACAGCCATGCCAGTACGTTTTATCCTTGCTCCTCTGCCTTCCCAGTACTTCAGCTCGGATAGTTTTCTACGCTTGGGTATCCACTCAATCTCTTTGTCAACATAGTGATCTTTTTGGTCAATTTCGTTATCTCCTTCACTGCCCCATGTCTGATCTCTTACAGAATCTCCAATTGAGAATACAAAGTCAGCTTCGGGACTGTAAGTCTCAGTCTTCACAGCAGCAACCAAGGAAGGTAACAAAGAACTTGGCACATTGCCACCAGGCCAACTCCATATGCATAATCCTTCTTCACCAACCTCATCAGTAAGAATCTTTAGTAATAACAAACCACCATCATCCACCATCTGACCAATAGCTGCTGCATGCACAGCATCTTGGTTACTTAGTACTCTGACCATAACAGTCTGCATCTCCAATGAATAGAACACCTTGATGATAATAGTTTTGTATGAAATCCTGAATTATGGTCTCAAAGTACTGTTTATTGTTGGAATGATCAACCAATGCTGAAACGATATCCATCGCAAAGATTTGAAAATCTGACTCTCCAGCCAAACAGTTGAGAATGACACTCCAAACTCCTGGAGCCAGTTTCACTGTCAGTCCCATAGGTTGAAGGCCCTTGGCCGCCCTTAGTGTTGCATGTCCTTCCGCCTTCAACCCCTCCCTTAAATTAGGCTTCTCACTTAAAAGATCATACAGAACTTTATCTTGAAGAAAATCCTCAGTATCCAGACCCAAAGAGCTCATCCTGATCATTTCTTTGATATGTGCCCTCTCTAAAACCACCCACAGATCAGCACCCTTGTGTTCATTGAAAGGATCAAGGATGAATCCAACACTGCTTGAGAACAGAATAAGCAACGGTGGTATAATACCAACAACCTTATGGAAGTCCCTCAATCCTAACTTTAAAATATCACCATCATCAATACTGATCCTCCCTCTTTCCAGTTCCACAAGCCTGAAGAAAGCATCAAGTATGCTAGATTTCCCTTCCTCATTTTTGTTAGCTTCACCTTTCTCTTTAACTGTACAAGGTTGAACATTTACTTCAGCTTCCCTTCCTTTAACCCTTTTGGGCTTTAAAGATAAATTCATGAGTTGTTCCCTCTTGGAGATGTCAATTCCAGCAATTTGAATAGTAGGGTCCAGATCCACACTGATTCTACTCAACAGGTAATCTTCACCCAATAAAGCAGGTCCAGGAAGTTTGATACTATAAATGATCTGATCTAGTTTTTGATCTGGTTCAGATGAATCAACAGATTTTGGCACGGCTTTCACTAGAGTCGAATAATAAATCTTATCACCTGTCCTTTTTGACTTATCTGCGCTTGTGACCTCCTCCTCCTGCGCTTTCGGTTCTGACAATCTCAACTTAATGTTCATTGTCGGTGATGAAGTTCCTGGTGATCCATTTTCGGATTCAGTTTGGTCTAGGGTTCTGAAAACTGATGAAGCTTGCGCATGGTGAGGAACGGCTAGCGTCGACGAACTGTGACATGCGGCCAGAGACGACAATTTCGAACTGGTCCTTGATGATAGGTAAGGAGCGGCTACTGACGGCGAAGAGTCTGGCGAACAGGAAGAAGATGCTGGCGACTGCGTACATGGACTGTGAGACGCAGCTTGTGACTGAGAAGAGACCTGCGCACGCGACGAGGTCTGTGAACTAGGTAAAACCGTTCGCGATTGCGAACTAGGAAGAGCTACGGTCGAGAAACCTGATTTTCAGTTGGCCGACGGCGTCTAGGAGGACTCCTCGCTCGGCCTCTAATTCTCCTGCGACGCTGTTTACGCAAATGATGTATCATCTCGTCCAGCATCGTTTCCATCTTCGTCCAGGTGCTATTCTCCAGATTTGCGCGCAAACCAGAAGTGCGATTCTCCATTTTTTTGTTGCGTGAATACCAATGATACCAATGAAGCTTACCAGGGCGTAGTGCTCTGATACCAATGATACGTACCCAGAAATTTGACGATAAAGGGAAGTATATTAGATGAAATTGATAGACTGAAAAAGAAAGATACAGTGAGACACTTCGAGCAGTCCCCTCTCCCAAGCCAAAGCCTATCCCAATTTCTCCTCCAATTCTACTCCCCTCACTCCTATTTATTCTTTTCCATATGGGCCAGCCCAGTTCTATTAAATTCAGGTCCTAAAACCCTTTTATTCTACTATATTAAAAGACCACCATTATTCTTATTTTTAGTATTATCTAGGTCTCTATCATTATGATAATTATCCCGTGTCATTCATTTCGTCTCACTGTTCCGCTCCTCACGTCTCTATTACTCTCCATCCTTGTCTTAGCATTGTTTCTGTGCCCTCCATGACATCTTTCAAACTGCAAGCAACACCAGTGGATGTAGTTATATTGGAAGCGTGCAAGGACAGTTTCACCCACCCTGAGTACTCCCCACCCTACTGAGCCCTCACTGCCAAAAGCCACCCCACTGCTGATTAAGCCACCAACAAATCTGCCACCACCACCACCACGGCACCACCCACTTTGCTGTTAATGCAACCACCCAACTAAATTGGAAGCAACTCCTCAGGTGCTAACTTTAGCTCCTGCAGTTGAATTTGCAAAACAAAAGCTATTCAATATTAAGAATGTGTGGAGCAGCTTGGGACTCTCCTGATATTCCTTGGCTGAGCACATCTCACAAAGTTTCTTTTGATAAATGTATCATTTTATACGTACAAATCAGTTTGATAAATCCTGAAGTTCAATATGCCACCATTCTTTTGACAATGTTAAATCACTCGTTGCTTCAATATGCCACCATTCTTCTGATGAAGTATCAACATACCTCAACCAAGTTTCCTGACGCACAGTGCATTTTTTCTAGCCTTTTGTGTTACCCTTTGATCCTTGGAAGTGATGGATACCACAGATGTCAGCCTTCAAGCTTGTTTGCAAGCTTGATGTCCTAGACGGGTGTGATGATGTGTGCTGGTGACATCAAAACATGATGCCTTCATAGGAAGACACTGCTCGTGCAAAAGCCAGCAACCAGTGGCATACCAAATCTTTCTTATTTGCTTAATTAGTCAGTATCTTATACTCCCTCTGTCCCACTGGACTTTGCCAACTTTCCTTTTTTGTTTGTCCCAAAAAACTTTGCCACTTTCCTTTTAAAGCAATGTTTTTGTGGCTCTGTTCATTTCTCTCCTCTGCACATATCTCAACCACACAAATTTTACTATTCTAATTTCCCACCTAACATCAACTTGGCAAAGTTGAGTGGGACGGAGGTAATATTGAATCATTTCCCTTCATTTACTTCATCTTTCTCTACAAGTTTATTTATTTCTTGCATGTAACTTTGATTTAATTTGTTTAGCTTATTTACTCAGTTTTTATCAGCAAGATATGTCATTCTCCCTCCTATATAAAGGACTAGTTATTAGCCCTTTTTAATGAATAATGAACCAGTTAATCTAGTTAGTAATTAAATAGAAATTATCTCAATGGGGTGGGGAGTGGGGGAGTAACGTGTCTCTACAAAACACTATTTTTATTTTCCTTTGCTCCTGCTATTTTGCCTGTGGCGTTTGTTAGCTTGTATCTGCAACAATTTGTCTGCTATAATGCCTACAGTATCCAACTTAAAGCTTGAGGTTTTGGGGTATTACTTGTCGAGGTTCTAGTTTTTTTGTCATAGTATGGTCATATTTCTAGATATGTTTATCTAGCTACTGTGATGGCTTGTATCGCAACTGTTATGCATAGTCTCAATCTCTTCTTCTTGTCCATGTAGGTGGTCCTAGTGGATCTGGGAAAAAAACCTTGGCTCGTAAACTGGCTAATATTATTGGTTGCGAAGTTGTTTCCCTTGAATGTTATTACAAAATGCGACAAGTAAAAGACTACAAGTATGATGATTTTTGCTCTCTTGATCTTTCTTTAATGTTGAAGGTAATTATTATATAGCTTTTGACCTATGGTCTTTTGAATATATATCATTCTCTTTGTGCGATGGAGATGTAGTATTATGTTCTGAGATATTGATACATAAGTGAGATCTATTCAACAATTGTCTCAATGATATTAAAACATACAAGTGACACAACATGGGGAAATTTCCCAAAATAAGAGTAAAAACAATGTGGTTTCCCCAACCAGGAATACTACGTCTTCCCTCTAAATATGAGTAAAGTACTGCCCTCCTGAATCATATTGCCATATTTTGGCATTAATATGATGGTATTAATTCCATAATATATCAATATTGTCCAAGCATGACAGTAATTACACCTATTTAGGAAAAAATTATAGTACTACCTCCGTCCCATTTTGTAAGATACACTTTCCTTTTGGGTTGTCCCAATATGAACACTTTCCCAAATTGAACTCCATGCTTTTGATAAAAAGAACTACAGTAGTTTTAGTTAGATTTTAAAATAATATGCTTAAGCTAATGAAAGCCTATGGAGTTTAGATGTTTGTTCTCTATCTGAGTGTTATATTCTGTTCTCTACTCTGTTATATGATTCTACTTGATGGTTATCTTCTCTATTCGACTTGTTTGTCATATTTGCTGTTGTGCAAATGGGTTGACTTACATATTTGAATATGAAATAATTTTAAAATTTTCTCATGCAATTACAGATGTTATTATGGGCTACTAAGACATAGTTTATTTTTTTTTGTAATTTTCATGTACTTAATGAAACTATTTAATATATGTGAGCATTAAATATTTTACCTTTGAAATTTGCGGCTCGCGGCGCTAAAACATAGTGCCTCGAAGCCTATTTATGCTTTTTAGACCTTTACGTTCTTGTATAAATGCGTAACATTTGCCTCACATTGCTCACTCTTTTATTTTTGTGGACTCTATAGAATATTAGCGAAATAAGGAAGTCTGGTAGAACCAAAGTCCCCATCTTTGACCTGGAAACTGGTACACGTAGTTGCCTGAAGGATATTGAAGTTTCTGAAGACTGTGGAGTGGTATGTGCTTAGAGTTTGTTATTTCGACATGGTTCCTACTGTTGCTTGATGTTTGTCAAGCTTCTGCAATGTTTAAATCTTGGGCTAGTTATTAGATTAACTTTTAACCTTGCTTTGTCGTAATTCCTGATTTTTTTTCCTGCTATCTAGGTTATATTTGAAGGTGTTTATGCTCTGCACCCTAACGTTAGAAAATCATTGGACTTGTGGATTGCTGTTGTAAGTATGATTGGTACTACTCCTTTAATAGGGCGTTGGATACTGGGATATCTGCTGACACTATAGTTTCCACGCGTTTGAACTTCAAAGTTAACATGCTAACATCCTTTGATCTATTTATCATTTTGCTACAGGTAGGAGGTGTTCATTCACATCTCATTTCAAGTGTTCAAAGGGACAAAAGTAAAGTTGGCTGTTTGATGTCTCAAAATGAGATTATGACAACAGTTTTTCCAATGTTCCAGAAGCACATTGAACCCCATCTTGTTCATGCACATGTTAGCTTAAAAAATCTCTAATTATTTATTTACATTCTATTATTCTGATGAATAATATAAAAACTTATGGAAAATCTGCTTTTGGTACTTCCAACCATAATGTTTTGTTATTTTTATGTCTCTAAATTTGACCAACTTTGATACTTCGATTACTAAAAGGATTCCACTTTTTTGTCCTCTGTTAGGGTTTTAGTTATCTGAATGTCAAACCAAGGGATATAATGATAAATGTGTTTATGTTTCGGTATTTCTTTTTTAGGTTTCCTTTGGTCCTTTTAATGTAAACCTACCAAACTAATGCAAGAATCCATGTTTTCCAAACTCAGATGCTGTGATTCATTGGTTTAATTTCACTTTAGATTTAAAAGAGCTGAAATGGCTTCAGAATGTTCTGTTTTCGAACTCAGAGGCTACCAATTTGTTTTTGTTTGAAATTTCGAATCACATCAGAGGTTCCATAGATTTTCTTGCAATGTTAACTAGCTTTTCATGTTCTTTATGTCCCTTAGATTGATGCACTTAGAATCAAAACCCTAGTCCAGGAATAAAAATGAATTTCATTATAAACTGGAGTATCAAAATGTGTTGATTCGAAAAGGGAAAAAATAAAACTCACTAGTCAATGGGCCAAAAAATTTTCTTTTCATTTCAACTTATACTATATTAGTATATTTAGTTCTACATGTTGTGCTTTTATAGTCAGTTAGAAAACTAGGAAAATGTCTTATGGAAATTGTATTCTGATAGAGATGTGCACAGTGATATTAATAATAAGTACTACGGAAGAGTCTATTCTAGAAGAGGAAGGAATAACAGTTAGTTGTTAGTAAGTGAGCTGGCACTTTCCGTTATTAACTGAGTTTGTATAAATAACTGGTCTGGGAGGGAGTTGAGTAGGCTGTTGTTAGACAGTTAGCTTTGGCTGGGAGAAATTGGGGCAAGGTGTCTTGTTTCTTGTTGGGAACTCTCTGTACATCTTTCTTCCATTAATGAAAGCTTGATAGTTTCTTGAATACTATTTTTCTTTCTTTGAATTGAATACCTACCTGTGGGAGTTCTATCATATTCCTTCTCTAGTGTTTGGGTAATCATAAGAAATGGCAACTGGAAATCTAACCCTTTTTTTATGAAATTGTTTCTGACTGAAAGCTCTGGAAAGATTTTCCTTTCTCGTCAGATACATGCAGCTCTCTCTACTCTTACCTAGAACACACTGAACAGCGAAATAATTTCAGCCATCTTAGGTGCTCACCTATGATGAGATGGCTCCTGCCATTTCATCTTATGCTGTTTTTTTTATTATTTCTTTATAAAAAAGAGTTCTTTTTTGGTGTGATTTGTTCATCTATCCCATGCCTTCAATCTTGGTTTTAAATACTAGGTTTTATTTAAGTTTTGTTTGTAGTTTGTGTTTAGTTCCTTGCAATATTTTTCATTTCCAAAATATGAACCAAACATAATAGTTCAATTTTTTGGGTTGAGGCAAACGATGGAAATACAGAAAGATTTCTAGAAAATGCATTTTCCTAATTATTTTTCCATCTCCAAAAGACCCATCGTCAAATTAAATAGAAGAATGCTTGGTGTACACATTTTTGTGTACACTTTGTGTACTTAAAGTGTACACAAAAATGTGTACACCTAGCACAACTCAATTAAATATAATCTTTGCTTCCAAAAGTTTCTAGAAAATGATTTTGGACCTACTCTTATTCCCCCTCAGTGGGATATGTTTTTCCTTGTTCAATCATTGAGTACTGATACCCGAGCAAATTGATGGAGTACTGTCCACTTTTTAAACATGTTTTGGGGTAGTTATTGTGCTCTAGAATTGTAGAAACACTTTGAATATACAATCTTGTGGTGATGGTAACACCAGGATGTTGTATAGACTGGTGAAATAATAGCATCAGCATGTTTTTTATTTTGAGAATACAAAAATGCTGTTTGTGTTATAGACTTATAGTGAAGGTCTGCAGTCCAGATCACAGCTGTGTGGTAGGTATCCTGCTCTGACACTTCTTTATTTTATACCGCAGCTAAAAATTAGAAATGATTTTGACCCTGTCCTTTCCCCTGAGAGCTCGTTGTTTGTGCTGAAAAGTAGTAAGCAGGCAAGTGCAATAAATTACTATTTTCACAATTCCACCATGTATCTGCACAAACATATTTCTTACTATAGGGTTCCTTTGACAGGTGGAACATCAAGATATTATTGAAATTCTTGAACGTACCAAGATATCGAGTTCTGTTCAGAGTTTTATTGATATATATTTATGTCTTCATGGAATACCTAATGGCCTGCTAACAGAAAGTGATTGTATAAGAGTCAGAGTTTGTGAAGGAAGATTTTCATTGTTAATAAGGGAGGTTTGTATTTTCAGTGATATTGTGACACTTTCTGAATATATTACTCCAGTAATTGTCTGATCATTATTCCCTCTTCTTATCTTTTGATTTGAATTTTTCCTTCTAAAGCCCATAAGAGAAGGCAGTTTCATTGTTCAGCCAAAAGTGGACTTCGATATAAGTATTAGCACCGTTGCTGGCCTTCTTAACCTCGGGTATGATGAATTTTATATTGGTGTTTTCTCTCACTAAATGTTTGTCCTTTTTATAAATACATAGGCATTTAACTATACAATATTTTAACAATCATTATTTTTCTTTTTGTTAGGTTATGCTTTCTTAGTTATTGGTAGTTATCATTTAAATTTAAATATGATACAATTCATGATTCAAAAAATCGGTCTGCTAATTTAGGATGCGAGTCTCAATTTGAAATCCTTTTTTGGGAGCTAAATTCAAAATGTCTTATTATAAGCCTATAATATATTATCTAAAGTGAATGAATTCTTAATATTATTAGTTAAATTTAAATTAGGTATTTTCTAAGTTGTACATACTAATTTTTTATCCTTTTGTGTTAAAAGTTTTATCTTCAATGCTTCAAGGTTTTATGTCATTGAACTTCAATAATTGATTATTTGTTTTCTTACCTAATTTTAAATATATTTTATTTAATATTTGAAGCTTACACCTCTTTTTGCCTCAAGGTTTACGCCACAAGAGGCTAAGGTTGATCATTTCAAGGCTGTATTTTGCTTTTCAAAACCATGTATATATTATAGGAAAATTGCCTTAAATAGGAGTAAACAGGTTTTGAAATTCCAAAATAGGACTACTATGTTTTTCTTCCCGAAATAGGAGTCACTACTGCCATGATTGAAAAATAATAAGGGTGATGCTTCTTGGTGATGACCTAGTTGTAGTGATATTCATGTTTTGATTCATGTAATGTTATGTGACTAAGTTATACCATTGGCCCACACGCCTATCACAACACCCTCCTTTATTCTGGCTTGGGACATGCATGATAACAAAAAATGGTCTCATGGCGGAGTTAACTTGCATCATGAATAACACCACAAATGCAAAATGGATTTTGCAACCAGTCCTTTTTTTCTAATCTCGGGGTGGAAACCACCTATCGGTGGGGTAAGCGCCGGGGAGCACTTAACTATTTATTGAGATAGCAATTGCGAGTACAAGAAAATGGGCATAAATGATTAAATGTTACCCAAAAAGCTAATTTTTTTTAAAGAGATAGAACTAATGAAGTGAGAAATAGGAAAGATATTAAATGTTAAGGTAGTGGGAACTCCTGCTTGAGTGGATAGATCTTTGTTGAATTTGAGATGAAACTCTATGGTCCGTTGAATGTATGGTGGGTATATCGTTGCTTCTAGATGTGAAAGTCTGTACCTCGTGAGTCCTTTGACAAGTTTATGTGGTGATTCAAATTTGAATTCTTTTTGGTATTTCATGAATTCTTCATCTGCTTGTAGTGATTTTGCCTGATTTCTGGTGATCATGGGTTGGTGAATTTGATTCTAATCATTGTAAGACTTGTCAATATTTGAAACCTTGTAATCCTACAAGTCCTCAATAACAGATTCGGGCCTAGAAGCAAGCTTTGTAGTCTTGTCTGCAATAACAAATAAATTTCCCTGTTGATCTTCCTTGTAAGCTTGCAAATCTACCTGAAATAAAGTCTCGGATATAGAAAGATGAAGCTTAGTGTCATCCAGATCCCTAGGGTTAATCTAAAGTTCTTTTGCAGCCAGTCCTTTATCATCTATATTCTATAAATGTATATATGTATATTTTAGTTTCCATTGTTATCTTGCTCTATATTCTCTCAACTGTAGTAATTTGCTAGGAGCTTTGTTGGCTCAGGCACATTGCCATTAGTTTGTTACCTTCCCTTTTCAGTGGTGTAGCTTGTGGATTCAGTTTCTATTTGATTGGAATATTTTATACATTATGATAAATGAATCAGGTATCAAGCAGTAGCATATATTGAAGCCTCTGCACATATCTACCAAGATGGAAAGGTAAGGTCACTACTGCGTATGTTTCAGAGTTGTGGTTAGTTATACCAATTCTTTCTTTATTCTATCTCTAGATATATGAGAACTGCAATGATTGGCTACATAAATCCTCTTTGGGAAGGTAAGGTCGTTATGAAGGACCCGTCAACATGTTTTCATCAAAGAAGACATAATCTTCTACCCCGAGGTCATCCTGCCTAATATGCATCTGCATAACCACACGACCAACGACTTCTGTGCTTTTATCATTTTTGTGTAACAATCTTATTCCTGTAAATATCTTGATATAGTATAAAATTCTAATGACGTCATTGCAATGACTATTGCATGGAGATGCTAAGAAGTGACACACAACGTAGGAGCGCAATATTTTAACTTTGCAATCCATAGGAGCGTCAGACCATTAACTTGGTTTTTTCCTTACAACAAATCAAGGGCATACTTTCTTCGCGATGTGCAAATCCCTTGGATATGCAACCTCAATATACCAAAACCTTTGGTGTCAAAATGCTTGAATATCCCTTCAGAGTCATCTCGCGTAATAACAATATTGTTGATGCACACCACAATGGAGACACTTACTTTGGCAATGTTGACAGAGAACGGAATGATCAGCATTACACTGAACAAGACCATCTAAATTCATACACCTCTTTTCTTAGATTTCCTTGTGAAAAGAGATTCCTAATGGGCAATTGCACATTGGTTCCATAGATAAATTCAAAAAATGCAAACCTAGCAACAGATAGAAAGGTGTCCCTATAATCGATAACTCGATACCAATGACATTTTCCATCACTTGGGCACAAGTCAGGCTTTAAGCCTACCACATATTCATAGGACCACCTTTGACAATTTAAATCCATGATCGCCTTATAAGAGTCTAACAAGGAGCTAAGGAGGTGATAAAACTAAGTCCTAGGTCCCAGAGTAATGTAGCAAGGCCGTTTCATCGAACATAGCATGTTGCCAACTGGATTGTGAAAGTGCTTCCCTAAGAGAAGGATCATATTTTCCCTGGCATGTGTCTGAATAAATTTAATACAACCCTTGACGTACTCTGTAATGATAAATCTTATGAGTATTTTTATGAACTGTTAAATCCTAGTTCATCAGTCCTCTTGTGTCAATCCCCCCCCCCCCCCCCCCCCCCCAATAGGATGGTATAGCCTATTGGACTATGTAAGTGTCTACATCTCTTGGATGTAACAAGAGCATTGATGTTTGAATAGAAGGTCCCTAAGCACAGCTGGTCTGGTGTAAGAATCAATGAATCATCAACATATTATCTTGCAAAAGGGGTATATGCCTTGAAAACTATGAAGCACGGACACAGTTAGGATGTTTTTACTTGGACTGTAATTTGCTGATCTGGTCTGATCTGGTCTGGTCTGGTTTGAACTGGTCTGGTCTGGTCTGGTTTCTTTGTATTTTTATAACTATCCAAGTCTGGTCTGGTCTGGTCTGATCTGGTCTGGTCTGGGACGAATTACAGTCCAAGTAAAAAGTAAAAACATCCTTAGTGCGTGTATGCACTGGCACATGTACACTAATAAAACAAGACATGGGTTCAGTATTGTCCTTGAGAAGTTCCTGTAGAGTTCCTAGTTAGTGCACTAAACCAGTTCTTAGATGCACCATGTGACAATTGTTGGAATAGTACTGTTTAAATCGTATTACATACTTTTACATCAAGAAGGCACCACGAAAAGGGATACAGTGTGAAGATAAAGATTACACCCAAGTTCATTTTGTGATACTGATTGAGGGTTCTCCAGTGGATAGGAGTGTCACATTTGGATGTGTTTTCATAACTAGAAATCTCATCCCGTGGAAGACTAAGAAGCATTATATTGTTACAAGATCCCTCGCAAAGATGGAGTATTATGCTCTTTCTTTAGTTACTTGTGAGCTGATAAGGTTAAGGCATTTGCAACAAGAGTAAGACTACCACACATCAACACGAATGATATTGATATGTAATAATCAGGTAGGGCTCCACATAGCCTTAAATCCAGTTTCATGATATTTCAATACACGAAATTGACTCATTTTATTAGAGAGAAGATCATGTCTTGTATTTTTAAACTATCTTTTAACTCTAATGATGAACTACATATATGCACCAAGCTTATGAGGTATCCTAGAATTGGCTGTATTGCGTTAGTTGTGAAATACTAGGGTTAATTGGTTGAATTCTAGGTAATACTCTAAGCCTAGCCCAATCAAGCGGTTCCTCCATGCCCCAATCCTCTGCCAACTTTGCTTTTGTGTCTGACTTCAAAAAAGTTCCACTATGAAATAAATGTGTAGTTTATATTATTAGTTCTCTCTACTCAAGCACAAACCACAATCACACAATTTGACTTTCTTATTCCTTGTGCAAGTAAAAAATGTTAAGTATCATGGGATGAAGGATATACGATTAACTGATTGCATCTAAATTTAGTTGCACAAATATAGGGTAATTGGATCTTGAGTATTCAATCAATGAAATTAAATCTTCTCAAAAATAACAGTAAGTGTGTTATTTATAGATTCTTGTTGAGGTTGATCATCTGCACGATTTACCTACTACATACATACAAATTAAAGGGGCCAATAAAGAGATCGTTTCTGATGCTGGTTCATCGCTTAAGTTGGATGGCTCATATACAACAAAGGTTTACTCTCTTTGCCATAATTTGGAATTTAGAAGAGTTATTGCTCTCAAATTGAGCTTAAGTAATGAATGAAATTCTAATTTTCTGCAGAGTTATCTTCAAATTGTTTTAGAAAGAATACCTGTTCTTGAGGGGAGTTCAAGTGGCATTCCTTGTCAACAAGCTGCTAAGTTGCAAGAGCTTGTAGAATTTATACAATTGCAGGTAATCTTACATTGTGTTTTGACTCTTCATTCCACACAAGCAAATAGTAGATGGGTTAGATGGGGTAGGTTTTGAAGAATTGGTGTGAAATTATGTGTATTTGACATCAGAGGAAGAACATTGGTATTTCAGTGGTCATTCTGTATTGGTCATCATTTAGAACACATGTGTTATCTTCTCCTTAAATGAAATTTGCATACAAGTTATACACCACCAAGGATAAAAGATCCCCAAGAGTCAGGGATTAGTGAAAACAGATTCCTGAAAATCAGGGATTGGAACCTTGACAACAAAAACTACAAACATGATAGTTAAATCTACAATAACCACCACATATTTTCCTCTATATGGCATGCCATGCAAAATAATAAAAAATCTTTGTCCATTAAATGGTTTGACCTGGTTGACAGCTTGACACTTGTGTTTCCTGAGTACGGGTACAGTGCCAGTACTATTTTTTTAAAAACAGGAGTATGGTTCTGCAGATACACAGATACATACACACATGTATATAAGTATGTACGTACAGTTGCACATGCATATACATGCACACACATACATATTGTTAATATATGATAGAATTGTTAATATATACACATACACACACACATAAATATGCATATACATGTGCATATACATGGGGTGTGTAAGTGTGTTTCCAATAAGAGTGCTTAACGTGAGAAATGCGAATAATTCACTTTTGCTTCTTTATGATGGGTTATCATGTTTAACTAATGCACTTTTACAGGATGACAGAAAAAGTTTAGTTAGTTTTGAAACCGATGCATTCTCATTTCTTTAGCATTTTTGGCACTTCTAGAGTCATAAGATTTCAAATTCAATGCACTGGATGCATTCTCAATTCAATATGTATATATGTATTAAAAATCACAATTTGCATGACATGAAAACTGAAACTTCTCGAGAAATTTAAAAAATGCAATATATTCAAGTCTAAAACTTTCAACTCCACATTAAAAATAGTCAAGCACTGACCCCATATTTATGAGATTGAGGCAGGCTGTAGCACTCCATATTAGTGGCGTCATGGCGTGTATATAATGTGTTGGGGTAGGGTTTTGTAGAAGTTTAACATGAAAAAAGAACTACCTGTATAAGGCTTTTTCTAAATAGGTGCCATACCCAAAAATCAAAATTAAAAAATATTAATGTTGCGACAATATTGTATTGATTGATGAGACGCAATCCGGTGTTATAGCAAAGTTGGAAGTATGACGACAAACATTGGAGAACAAGGGTTTCAGACTGAGCCGAAGCAAGACTGAGTATATGGAGTGCAAGTTTGGTGGAGGTAGAAGTAGTAGCAACAATGAGATTACTCTTGATGGTAAGGAGATACCAGTGTGTGATATGTTCCGTTACTTGGGACTCCATAATTCAGAAGGATGGTGAATTAGATGGACATGTGTGCCATAGAATCAGAGCTGAGTGGATGAAATGGAAGAGTGCATCAGGAATTTAGGATTTCTATGCGATTGAGGTATGTCGACTAGACCGAAAGGTAAATTTTATCGAACAACAATTAAGCCTGCATTAATGTATGGCGTAGAGTGTTGGGCGGTGAAGCAATGCCACATTCAAAAGATGAGTGCGACTGAGATGCGTATGTTACGTTGGATGTGTGGACATACCAGAAAAGACTGCTTGAGGAATGAGATGATCAGACAAAAAGGTGGGAGTAGCACCTATATAAGATAAGATGCAGGAGTCTCGTTTGCAGTGGTTTGGGCATGAACGTAGAAGACCGAGTGATGCACCTGTTAGCCGACTGGAGGGGTGGGGAGAAGAGGCAAAGAAGAGAGAGGTGAAAACCCAAACAGACCTTGATTAAACGAATCAGAACTGATATGCGTCTATTTGGGTTGGATGAGAGTGCTTTGGAGAGAGCAAAGTGGAGGGCGCACATCCATGTGGACGATTGATGTATTTTCTATTTTTCCTCTCTATTTTCTTTTATCTTTTTATATTCTTATGTTATTTTTATCTTCTAGCTTTTTTATGCTCGATTATGTTTTTATCTTTTATCTTTCTTATATTCTTATGTTATTGTTATCTTATACTCCCTCCGTCCCGAATTGAATTGCAAACTTTGACCGGCAAAAGGATTAAGAAATAACAATAAATGATGCTTGCTTTTTACACTTTTGTCCATTTTTCTAAAAGTAGATGTCTTTTAGCTAACGGGGAAAAAGTAAAAGTAAGGGTAAATTTGTCACTTTGTTCTTATTTACATACCTATAATAGAAAGTGGAAAACCATTTTGGTACAACCAAAAAAGGAAATTTTGCAAATCAAATTGGGACGGAGGGAGTATTTATTTATCTTTATTTTATTCGTTTTATCTTACTTTCCCCCCCTTTCTTGTCCATCTTCTCTATTTGGCATCGATATCATAGATCGATTCATGTTAGCCGACCCCAAATTCTTTTGGGATTAAGGCTTGGATGTTGTTGTTGTTGTTGTTGTGCACGTGCCACAGGGTATGGAGTGTGGAGTACCCAAGGCGTAGTAATACCCCAAAGCATCCTGCACACAGACTTCTCTCAAAAGTCAAAACAGAGTAGCCATGTGTTCAAGCCTTCAAGGTTGACAATATTATTATTATTTGATATAGAATTAGTAAATTTATAATCCATTAGCACACTATGCGTCATGTAGTCAATGTGAATCAGTGTTTTTTGGTGGGGCATTGTAGCACTACATAATAAAACTATGGTTAATTACTTAGGATGATTTTACTTGGACTGAAATTTTCTGGTCTAGTCTGATCTGGTCTGAACTGATTTGGTCTGGTAAATGTCCAGTCTTTGTATATTTTATAACTATCCAAGTCCGGTCTGGTCTGAGACTGAAAATAGTCCAAGTAAAAACATCCTTAATTAGCAGATCCCTGTGTTTTAAGGCTTTTGTCAACCAAATACTTCATATTACAATTTTAATCAAATTATCAACCATAATTTTCCACGTCACTACTGCTGGTTCCAAATTTGCTTATGTTTGAACTTATTCCTGGGTAACAGGGTGACACTTCATTGTTAGACTCATCACCGAGCAAGGATGTTTCTCAATTAGATGGTGTAATTGAGGACATGCAGTCGAGAATCAAGAGACTCGAAAGATGGCACATTATCAGTACTGTTGTTCCAATACCCACTGCTCAAAATAGCTCAATTAGTGATATTTTCCCTTCAGAATATACTCTGAATATATCCACTCACCTGCTCAATCATTTTTCACAGGTGCTATGGACATTTTTGATGTCTGCTTTTGTAGGATACTCACTCTACCAGAGAAAACGCCAATAGTGTGCAATATTCAACTAATTGCCGTTGCAAATAGTACGCTGCTCAAACTATTCTTTCAAGTGACTGCTTCTTTGTGCATTTATGATATTTCTATGGTGTATCAATCTGATTCCAAATGACACCGAAACTGTTTTTATCTTGGACATGTTACTTCATGTAAACTTAGAGCCCGTTTGGCAGCATGAAAATCGGCTGTTCTGGCTGATTCTGCTGAAATTTATGAATTTCTGGCTGAAGTGGCTGCATTGCCTGATTCTGGTGATACAAGAAAAAAATATTTTTAAAATATATTTTATTAATAAAATAAAGAAAAAATTATATGTAAAAATAGCTAAAATGGTCATCTACAGTAACTTCAGATAATACAGCCAGAAAATTAACTCCAACCTTACTTTTTCGGCTTATTACAAAATTCAGCGCGAGAAAGCAAAATTTACTTGTTTGGTAAAAAAGTTGGTTGATAAGCCTGATAAGCCGAATATGAGGGTTGCCAAACGGCCTCTTAATATATTTTGAGAGTTAACCAGGCATATAATGATCAACAATGGAGAAATCAAGGGCCTGTTTACTAACAGAGATATTTTCCAGTTTTCAAAAACTGGAGAAACAAAAACAGAAAAACGTGTTTACCAAACCGTTTTCCAAAACGAAAAAATGAGACATGTCTCTCTTTTCCTTAATGATTTGGAGAAGTGACTTTTACTAGTTTTCCAAATTTGGAAAACGCAGATGCTACAGGGCGTTGTAATGAATTTGCATACTTACACCTAGTGGTGGGTCCGGTCCCGCTCCGATGTCGATTCCATTCTAGTACTTCCATCCTTATACCTTACCCCTTACCCCTACCCACCAACCTCCACCCTACCCCTTTTCCCTACGATGACCCTACCCCCACCCCTACCACATGCCCCTACCTCGGTCCCACCTCGATCCACCCTACCCTACCGCCACCCCTTACCACCTCAACCACACTCTGACCCACCCTACTCTACCCCCACCTCGTATATTACCCCTTACCCCTACCTTACCCCTTCCCACATGCCCCTTACCTCGACCCCACCCTACCGCCATCCTACCCCCACCCTCGTACCGCCATCCTACCCCCACCCTACCCCTTCCCCTACCTCGGCCCCACCTTGATCCCGGCCCCACCCTACCGCCATCCTATCCCAACTCCCTACCTTACCCCAACCTCAACCCTAGTCACTACCCCCACCCTTACCCCTAACCACCACCCTAACCCAACCACTACCGCACCCAACCCCGTACTCCTAGACCTTACCACTCCACCCCAACCATACCCTTTACCCCACCCCACCCATACCTTCCTTCCCTACCTTGACACCTACGAGTAGGTATGGAACTATGGATGGGTATAAAGGATTTTAGGGGAGTATGGGTAGAGTGTAAGATCGTGGTAAGGGTAGGGGTAGGGGTCAATGGTGTGGAATTGGGTGTAGGGTGTAAGGTGGGGGTACGAGGTATAGGGGCAGGGTAGGGGCTAGGAGTATGGGTACACATACGAGGTGATCGACACCACATATTATATTATATATTTGTGTTCATGAATGTGTGTGTGTGTGTGTTTATATGTATAAGGTTATTTTGGACATTTTAATGTTAAATGGTGTTTTAAACCTTTTGAAGTAAACATGATCTCATAACATTGCTTATTTTATGCGTCGCTTATTAACGCGAGTCTTAATAAGCAACATTTAGTAACCCGTGAAGTAAACGTGTTAGTCTTCTAGATATCATAGAACTGGGTGAAAAAATTGATGAACATGTTTTCAGATTTGAAAATGGAAAACTAGAAAATAGAAATAGAAAACTGAAAATAGAAAAACTGAAAAATAAAAACAGAAAATTGGAGAACGAAAAACAGAAGTAGAAAATAGGAAAATATCTCTGTTACTAAACAGGCCCCAAGTGTTTGCTGTGTTTGAAATGATAGGCAGGGGAATAAGAAATTGATTCTCAAATATATTCACATGAAGTTGGAAACAGGTGGGGATGTGGCATGTGGGGTTTGCTCACAATACTTTAAAGAAATGAAATACCACTCCATCCCAAAATGGTAGTATTCACGTCTACTTATCTCAACTCCTCAAGGTAGGGTTGGACTCGGGCCGGGTCGGGCCCGGGTCGGGCCTAGGCCCGGTCGGGCCGGCGGTCCTATATAGCTGGACCCGGGACCGGCCCGGGTAGCCACCGGGTCCGGTCCGGGTCCGAGCCGGGCCGGGTCTCAGGTTTGGTTATTTTTTTTTTTTTTTTTTTTCTTAGCTACCCATCCCTGACCCCCCCCCCCCTCACCCCCACCCCCCAAACCCATCCTAAACATCAAGCCCAACCCGGTGGAGCCCAAACAAATGAAAAAAACCAAAAAAATAAATAAATTTGGCCCGAACCGGGCCCGGCCGGGCCCGTGCCTTGTTATGGGTGACCCGGGCCCGGACCGGAAACCCACCGGGTCGGGCCTACCCGGACCGGTCACTGACCGGGCCACCGGTTCGGGCCGGGCCGGAACAGTACCGGTCCCGGGCCGGTTCCGGGTCGGGCCACCCGGCCCTAGTCCAACCCTACCTGAAGGATTAAGGATAATATTAATAAAGATCCGCAATGTTGTATTTTCAATATGTTAAAACAAAATTGTAACACGCGGATGATGTGATCTGATTCCTTTTAAAAAATAGATCAAAACAAACATTCGCAAGAATTGTTATAACTACAGTAATTTCAACAACTTGATCGACACCAAAACGACAAGTAGAGAAAATTTAGCTCGTTCGTTTAGCAGAATACCATGAAAATAGTGACCCCACGTTGCCAACAGCCAATGGCCTTTGATCAATGACTAAATGGTTTCTCGTCCTGGTTTAGGCGCTCCTGTTGTAATTTGTAAATTAGTTTTTACTCCTGTGTAAATAAGTTATACTTTAGTAATATTTTTGTAAAAAAACCCAATATACTAATGGTCAAATTTGTGCATTGACAAATGTGAGAAGTTGACTGTTGACTTTAGGGATGGACCCGGGCCGGTCCGGTTCCGGTTCAGGGTCAGGCCCGGACGGGCTCTTTTTGCAAATCCTTGGGTCCGGAACCGGACCGGGTTGATACCGGGTCCGGGCCTAACCGGATCGTGCCGGGCCCTGTTCAATGTCTAATTTTTTTTGCTTTCTTGTTATCCCTCGACCCCCCCCCCCCCCTCACCCCCACCCCCAAACCTCCCCAAAACACTCAGCCCTACCCTAGGAAAAGAAAAAAATTGACCCGGGCCCGGCCTGAACCGCCCGGGCTGGTTCGCCCAAACCTGGGCCCGAGCCCAGCCCGCCCGACCTGCCCAAACGAGCTAAAAGCCCGGAACCGGCCAACCGGTCCCGGTCCGGTCTGGGCCCGGTTTAGTCCATCGCTAGTTGCATTTATTTAAGAACGGATTACAGATGTAGTATATTGAATGATTGGTCTTCCTCAATTCTCTATTCCAAATGTACAAAGTTTTCTTACTTTGATATAGAGTATTTTTTTTTCTAAAAAAGACTCTTACTCATTGAAGTGTGACATATTCATTTAATTATCTTAATTTTACTAATATTTGATATGAAATAAGCTTTAAATTGTTTTCATAGACAAATGTGTATAGTAACTAGTTTAATTTCTAACGACTTTATAGTTCTAACTTTTTGGTCTATGGATGATGATGTGTAAATGAGTAAATCTCTACATTTGAAAATTTGGTGTTATTTAGTTTGGATGGTCGTGTGCTATTTAATATATAGATTTGTGGTTAGATATTTTGTTAACTTACTTAAAATGTTGTCTTACATTTTTATTTTGAATTTTTACTATATTATGGTAACATTGATACTGATTTAGTTTGAGAATTTTATAACTTACTAGATACTTTGCTAGCATAGACATATTTTTGTTTTAAAAAAAACCTAGAACTCAGACTGAATCAGCCCGTTTCAAATAGGGTGGGTAAGTCTGATCCTTATTTTGAGATTTGGTATACTTGGACCGAATCTACTCGTTAAGTGGAAACGACGGTTCTTAAAAATTTATCAATTACTCAGACCGATCCTGATCGTGCTCACCCCTACTTGTTGTACCCTTCGCAACACTCTTTTATGTAGTACCGGATAATATTTAGGGCGATCTATCTAAATAGGAGTAAATAAACCCTTAATTGTTAAAATAGGACTAAGATTTAAAAAATTTAAAAATTCCCTAAATAGGAGTTATTTGTAGTTGGAAAGAAACACCCATGAAGCTTTGAAAACATACTTCTGCCAACAAAATGTCGGACTGCCGCCGGTCTCTGGTCGCTGCTGCCTGCCGGCCACCGCCACCTCAGAAATGGTCGTCGTATAGATCTGGCCGTTGCCGCTACAGATTTGGCCACCGCCAGTGCAGATCTAGCCGCCTCCGCCGTAGATCTGGCCGTCGCCACCACCCAGCCCTGTAGATTCGTCCCTTGTCGGCCTCTGCTGCTGCAAATCTAGCCTCCGTCGCCGCAGATGCCACCATTTTAGTTAGAATGACAAACATGAATTGAGAATGCCATCTAAATGACATTTTCAAAGGAAAACACAAAATTTTGGAAGAGTCAGAATGCCATTTTGATGACATTTTCAGAGTGTAACTTGACATTTTGGACAAACAAAAAAGGACAGCCAAAGCATCTCAATGTTTTCGCACCTACACTAGAGAAGAGAAGGAGAAGGAGAAGGATGAGCGGAGATATCGTCATGACTATGCACCTCGAAGCTTGTCGTTAAGGGCTTACAATAGAATGATGAGCACATCGAAGGAGATGATAACAAATCAGAGAAGATGGTGACCAGATTAGAGTAGATGTGAGCAGATGAGCACATAAGAGAAGAGAGGTGATGGAAGAAGATTGACAGTGTGCCATAAGCTGCTGTGAACGAAGAAGATTGACGATGTGCAATGGGTTGCTCCACTGTTGTGCACGATTGAGAAATTAGAAAATGGTAATTTTTGGACAAAAGTCTCATTTAGAGAATAAAAATAGGATTTTTTACAAAAAAATACTAAAGTAAAACTTATTTACACAAATATAACTATGGGTTACTACAACGTAGTGTCATAGTAACTTAAGTTTAAAATTTAAACTTAAATTACTAGAATTTTATTACTACTCAAGTCACTAATCACATTTTTGTAAACAATCTTTATTTTAGTCATAAATATGTAAATATTTTTAGTATG